CACTGTGGCATCCAAACAGGACATGGGTAATTACAGTGTAATTACACTGTCACAACTAAACAGACCAGTGTAATTACTAGGCTGGTAATTACTACCCTAGTAATTACACCAATTCCAATTACCAAGTGAATTTCCAAACATACCCTAACTAAAATATACTTCCACGCGCTAGATATGTATTGGTTGCACTTTTCATGCCATATCAGCAAAAAGTGTCTAATAGGTACTCGTTTTGAATAATATAAGTGTTCAATAGGTACAAGGTATACTTAAAGTGTCCAAATGAAATATGAGAGGACAACTTTAAGTGACTCTCTATGACTTAAGCCAACTTGTAAGTATCCAATTGTATATGTGCACATGTGTCCTAAGTGACATATACAAACTAGTTCGAAAACACCCGGAAAAGATAATAGAAATTTTAATTAAGCATGTACAATTTACTTTATAAAATATAGGCAAAAAGGTCTGGTGGACCATCGTACTTGTATCAGTTTGTATTATGGACCATTTTACTTAACACTTTACCAATTGAACCCTTACACTTAATAAAACATAATATATCAAACCCCTCTGACCATTGACTATGCTTATGTGACATTAATATGATTGAGTTGGCAAGAGAGTGAGACCACACGCCTATTAAGGCAAGTGAACACCATATTTAAATTTTAAAAATATTTAAATTAAAAGAGTAAAATAATAAACTTAAAAAAGAAAAAAGATACCCTTCTTCTTCACCCAACCACCTACTTTTTTCAGCCATCTCCATTTTCGTCCAAGCATATGCATCGACTTGGTACCTTGCTTATATGTTGCTTGGGTACATGAAAACTCTAACCTTAATGTATTTGGTGGCAAATTGGAGTTGAACTTAGCTCTAACAACACCACTGTTTCCATGAGGCCTACAAACTTTTCCCCAAATACAACGATAATGTGAGTTATTATTCTTTGTTTTTGCCTTGTGTATAAGCCATATATTTCCCTAAGTACCAATCTACTTCCTCCTTAGTGCTCACTCCCTTGATCTGAACCAATGAAGTGTTTGGATACTGATTCGATTTCGACCTCTTGTATCCGAGAACTGTTCCTCTGGTATAGAGTCTCACACACTCTCCTTGGCGTCCCTTCACCATTTTCGATTATGGAGCTGCAAACTGAAGAAAATCCCTTATAGTGGAGAAGCCTAAATTAAAATTTTAATTTAAAAGAATAAATTAAAATTTTATTTTATAAAATTTGCATCAAAACTTTATGATTTTTTGTCCAAAAAAAAATTTATTATAGAAAAAAAAATGATGTGGCAAATTTTATGACATGGAATGTGACATCAGCGCGATTGAGAGTCACGATGAGTTGAAAGGGTTCAACAAGTTGAGTCTAAATGAGTTCGGGGGTTCAGATGACAAAGGGATAAGTAGAATGATTCACAATACAAACGAGTACAAATATAAGGGTCCACCAGGTCATTTGACCTAAAATATACTATCCAATTACAAGTAATTGCTTTCTTGCATTTTGAATTTAGTTTGTTTTTCATTCCTCTACCTCATATTTTTAAAATCTATTTACTTACACGACCATTTTAAGGGATTATGGTATAGAAAATTCTACTTTTATATTTTTGTGGAATTTCAATATTATAAAATGACAAGAGTTTAATTTTTAAAATATAAGGGGTTGCTTGATTACTAGTTAGAAAGAGAATTATTCATGCATTAAAAAATTAGTATTTCAATATCATATTTAGGATTTTAGTGGCTTTATCTAAAATTTAGCACACTAGTAGTTTGTTTGGATAAGTTTTTAGGAGGTCGAAAAATGTTTATTATTATTATTTTACTATATTATAGAAGACTCTAGGAATGATTACAATTGTGCCAATAAGATCACTACTAATGTCCAATATATTTATAAAATATATAAGTGGGCCCCACCACCTTCCACTTAAATACTACATATTATATATTATTAATTACTATACTATAAATCACTACTAATATCCAATATATTTATCAAACTATATAAGTGGGCCCCACCACCTTTCACTTAAATACTACATATTATATATTATTAATTACTATACTATAAATGACTTAAATACTCCATATTATCTATTACAATAATTAACAATTATTTGACACTTCAAATTCTATCAATGCCATATAAATTAGGATAAAAAACCTAAGATATAATATTTAAATATATTTTAAAATAATATAAGTAATACTATACATTACAATAATTAACAACTTAATTATTTAAAACTTATATAAAAAATTTAATTGACTCTCTAAATTCTATTGGTACCACATAAAATGGATTATATAATAAACATATATTGTTTGAAATTGACGAAAAAGAAACAATAAATTACAATAATTAATAAAAAAAATAGTCCACTCCAAAAAATCTATCAATTAACAACATATATTGTTTGAAATTGACGAAAAAGAAACAATAAATTACAATAATTAACAAAATAAATCTCTCGACTCCAACAAATCTATCAATTAATGCCACATAAATTGGGACATGGCAAATAACATATATTATTAAAAAATTAGGTTCAAAATGTACTAAAAAATACAATAATTAACAACTTAATATATTAAAGAGACATATAAAAAATGGTTAATATTTGAAATTCTGCATCTGCCACATAAATTAGAACAAAGAGAGTAATAAATATTATTTTCAAAATTATGTTAAAAAAAAGTAATACAAATCACAATAGCTAACAATTTAAAATATTTTAAAAATCATATAAAAATTTCAATAACTTCTCAAATTTTATAATATGACATAAATTAAAAAAAAATTGTTATAAATCATAATAAATAGTACAATATTTAAACTACTTTAAAAGCATTATAAATTGTAATAAATAATACAACAATTTAAATTACGTAAAATTTAACGACTTAATTTTTTTTTTAAAATGTATTAAAATTTTGGTTAATTGTCAAAACTTTACATGTGCCACATAAATTGGGACATCGACAGTCACACATATTTTTTTAAAAAAATTACATTAAAAGTATTCTATCAATTAACAACATATATTGTTTGAAATTGACGGAAAAAAAACTATAAATTACAATAATTAACAAAATAAATCTCTCGACTCCAACAAATCTATCAATTAATGCCACATAAATTGGGACATGGCAAATAACATATATTATTAAAAAATTAGGTTCAAAATGTACTATAAAATACAATAATTAACAACTTAATATATTAAAGAGACATATAAAAAATGGTTAATATTTGAAATTCTGTCTGTGCCACATAAATTAGAACAAAGAGAGTAATAAATATTATTTTCAAAAATTATGTTAAAAAAAAGTACTACAAATCACAATAGCTAACAATTTAAAATATTTTTAAAATCATATAAAAATTTCAATAACTTCTCAAATTCCATAATATGACATAAATTTAAAAAAAAAAACTGTTATAAATCATAATAAATAGTACAATATTTCAACTACTTTAAAAGTATTATAAATTGTAATAAATAATACAACAATTTAAATTACTTAAAATTTAACGACTTAAAAATATTTTTTAAAATGTATTAAAATTTTGGTTTATTGTCAAAACTTTACATGTGCCACATAAATTGGGACATGGAGAGTCACACATATTTTTTAAAACAAAAATTACATTAAAAGTATTCTATCAATTAACAACATATATTGTTTGAAATTGACGGAAAAAAAAACTATAAATTACAATAATTAACAAAATAAAATCAATAACTTCTCAAATCTCATAATATGACATAAATTAAAATAAAAAAATAATATATATTGGGCCCCGTGCTGGCACGGTGTCCTATATCTAGTTTTAAAAGAAATGGCTGGGCTAAATCTTTGAGAGTTCCATGAGCCGAAAAGGTAGTTTTTTTTTCTTTATAAACACTTTTTTTTTTTTTGAAAAACACCTTTGAGAAAAATATACTTAGAAGCATTTTTTAAATTTTTTGATTAAACACTAATTGTTTCGAAAGTGTTTTTTAAAATTTATTACCCAAACACATATTGTTTTTCATCATAAGTATTTTTTTAAAACCACTTTTAAAAATAACATTTTTCCAAATAAATTAATTGTAAAAGTACGGTCAAACTGATTATTGTGTGTAGTTATTATTTTATCATCCCACATAATTAAAATATATATTTTAAGTAAGAGTTATTTACTTAGATGAAGCCTTAATTATTCATGTAGTATACTTAATTTCATTTTTTCCCTTTAATGAGTAAATTGATTTTGAAATTCTATCAATTAATAGGGGTAAAATAGTAAACTCACTATGTCAATTATTATTTTCTTAATAGGTGTGTCAAGTAAAAAATTGACAAGTAGTAAATAGATCTCACCTAGTTTATACATTTATACGTGTATTAATTTGTGAGACTGTAAATTGATAATCAATTAACATATTTAATTTTATGCATAACAACCAAAATACTACTAAGCATGTTATTAGTTATATTGATTTTAATACATAAATAACTTACTTCTTAACAAGTAAGCAAACAACCCTTCATAGTGTATTAGTTGCAACTTGTTTAGATGATTGTTATATAATGTTACATAATGTATTGTATTGTTTTGATTAATATAATATTTGAATGAAATGTATCGATCATGTTGTTACATAATTTCACACATCAATAATTTAAAGAATAAATTTGTAACACTATAAATAAATATAGGTTCGACCATAGAGTTATTAGAAAAAATTAATAATATAAAATAAAATTATTAAATAATAACCCGAAGATAAGATGAAAAAAATAAATTAACAAGGTAATGATACTACCTTGTTCAGTAGTTATTACCAATTGTATTGTTAATTTAAATTTAATTGGGCTCTAATAGGAGTAGCACCGGAGCGGCAAACCAAAAGAAAAATCCAAACTCCAAAGAAGAAGCTGTATATACGTTTCTTGCAAAATTAGGGCACACGTACAGCCATTGAAGAAGATGAAGAGAATTTCTCTGCGGAGTTGCAATGGTATTCCCTTTATCTCTTCCATCTCTGGTTCGGCATTTACATTTAGAGCTTGGTCTTCATGCCATTACAGTAACAAATCAATTTCAGTAAAGGATAAACTTGGTGTAAATAGTGGCAATTTAGATGATGCTGTTACTCTCTTCCATCAAATGGTTACAGTGAAGCCTCTTCCTTCAGTTGTCGATTTCTCTAAATTATTTAACAATATGATAAAGATGAAACATTACTCTGCTGTCCTTTCTCTTTTTCGACAAATGCAGAATTTAGGCATTCCAATTAGTGATTTCATCTTAAATAGCATGATTAATAGTTATTGCCTGATGTATCGTGTTGATTGTGCATTTTCGGTGTTACCTATATACTTAAAGAATGGTGTTTCATTTGATGCTGTCACCTTTACCACTCTAATAAGGGGACTATTTGCTGAAAATAAGGTTAAAGATGCTGTTGAATTGTTCAAGAAGTTGGTGAGAGAGAAGATTTGTGAGCCTAACCAAGTCATGTATGGAACCATCATGAATGGGCTAAGCAAAAGGGGTCATACTCAGAAGACTTTAAGTTTGCTCCGGTTAATGGAACAAGGGAATACTAAGCCTGATTTATTCATCTACAGCATTGTTATAGATGCTCTTTGCAAAGATGGAAACTTAGATGCTGCTATCAACATTCTGAACGAGATGAAGCAGAAAGATATTCCTCCAAACATAGTCACATATAATTCAATAATTGATGGTTTGTGTAAGCTCGGTCAGTGGGAAAAGGTTAAAACTTTGTTCTCAGAGATGGTGAACCTTAATATGTATCCAGATGTGCATACCTTAAACATACTAACAGATGGACTATGCAAAGAAGGGAAAGTTGAAGATGCTGAGGAAGTAATGAAACACATGGTCGAAAAGGGTGTAGAGCCTAATATAATCACCTACAATGCATTGATGGATGGATATTGTTTGCGTGGTCAACTAGATAGAGCAAGGAGAATTTTTGATAGCTTGATAGATAAGTGCATTGAGACTGACATTTTTAGCTATAACATACTAATAAATGGATACTGTAAGAAAAAGAAACTTGCTGAGGCCATGCAATTGTTTTGTGAAATTTTTCAAAAGGGATCAAAACCCAATAATTTTACCTACAATACAATCTTGCAAGGTCTGTTTGAAGTTGGAAGAAGTGGTGATGCAAAACAAATTTACGCTGAGATGCTATCTGCAGGGACCAAGGCTGATATATACATTCATGCCACTTTGCTCAATGGTTATTTTAAGTACGGACTTGTTGAAGAAGCTATGTCACTCTTTAATAAGTTAGAAAGAAACAGAGAATATACTGATTTTGCATTTTACAATGTTGTCATTAATGGATTGTGCAAAAATGGTAAACTTGACGAAGCACATGCTGTTTTCGAGAAGCTTTGTTTCACTGGATTGCTCCCAGATGTGAGAACATACAATGTACTGATAAATGGATTTTGTCTTGAACAGTTGTTTGATGAAGCTAAAGATATTCTAAGAAAAATGGAAGACAACGGTTGTTCCCCAGACCGTGTTACTTATAATGTTATTGTGCAAGGATTTCTTAGGTGCAACAAAATTAGTGAAATGACATCTTTTATGAAGGAAATGGTTGGAAGGGGCTTCTCATTTGATGCAAGTACAGCTGCGCTTTTGGTAAACGTTGTAAGGGTGAATCCTTCTGTCCTTGACATGATACCAGAGCTTCACTCGAATAATAAGAAGTGAATATTTCTTTTGCTTGGTTTATTGGTCTATGATACAATTTCGTTTTATCCCTGCGTGAGAAATGGCATCAATGGAATTGCTGAAGTTGGAAAAATGGCTATTAGAATATCTCTTGATTTTTCCAGGCAGGCTTGCGGAGGAGTTACATCACTTTTGATATATTGATTGTTTTTCCAGTCTTATTCATCTTGGAAATTGGATGTAGCTTCACTCTCAATATGAATAATACTGTGAATTCTCTTATGTGACTAATAAGTCTAGAGATCTGATTTTCTGTGTTATTTAGTTATCCTCATGTATTTTCATTTTCTCTCATTTTTGGAGAACTAGTCTCTGGGCACGCGCGTTGTGCGTGTTTTCAATATTAATGATATTTAAAAAAATACATACATATTTAGTTTTGAAAATAAATGTAGCAAAAATTTGCAACTAAGATTATTTTTGAAGAATTAACGTAAATAGTTGTTCATCCAATTGATTAAACTATAAAAAAAAATCGGTGAGTATATAATATATTATATATGTATAATTCATTTGTATTGTGTACGATCATGTGTAATCAATATATATATATATGCCGGCTAGAAAAAGTAATAGTAAATCTACCCGACTATTTAAGTGAAGATACCTATGTTTTGTGGTAGCTAAAATAGTTTTTATTCAATGATATCATATCAAAATAAAAGAAAATTTTCCTTTTAAAGTTTGATACTATATTTATATATGACGCGGATACTCCTAATTCTTTCTGTAAAATGAATCAGTAAATTCAAATATGAAGACACATTATAGAATACAAAATTTCATAATTTTTTCAATACAAATCACATGATGCCATGAAGGCATATAACATGTATATCCAACTACTATATCAACAATAACAAACAAATTAAGATGAATGTCAGAGATGTAAACTTTTAACTTGATAGTTCCCAAACTTTCAACTTGGTAGTTCCCACTTTTATAGTAAAATACTATAAGATATCATTTTATAACTCCCTCCAAATACACAAATAACGTCGCATTTATCTATAGCTGTAAACAATTATAATTACAAGACATTATAAAAATAAATCAATTAATGAAAATTCTAAAATCAGTCTTCCAAAGAAATCAACTTCCTCCTTCTCATAGCTCATGAATTTCTGCTAGCACTCCATATGGAGATAGTGGTCTTCATATATCATCCAATGAATGTTGAATGTTGCATGTAAATTGATATGACAATTATTCAAATTCCAACATGTATCAACTCTACATGTTTCTCCATCTCCTTTTTTCTTTATTTCATGCAAAAGGAAAAATTTAAAGGAAAAGAAAGAAAATGAGAAGGAAGGCCAGATTCTCAACTAAAGAAACAAAACATGAAGGAAATGGAAATCATTTGTTACCTTTATATAGTATTTTTTTTTTTATGTTCTTTGAAATTCCTTTTAACATAATATGTATTTATTAACCTACACTTAAATACTTAATGAACTATTCAAATTCTACTGATTGTTATATTAACAAAGATTGGTTACTAATTTAAAAGTGTTAGAATTTGATAAGTCAAGTTAAAGAAAATGAAAAGACAAATTATAGGAATTGTAAAAGTTAGGTAAAGTAATACATGATGTGTTAATTTAAAGCAATTAATCATGTATATGTGAATTCCTTGGATACGTTTGTCTGAGCATTAAAGTACCACTTTTCCACTTTCAAATCCCGTTCAATTCATGTAATTGAAAAATTAATTAATTGAATTTTATTTAACTTTTACTTAAGGTGCGTAAAATAATACTTTTTGATTAGATATTTAATTAAATGTTTGATTTAATTAGATATATATTAATTATTATTATTATTAATAATAATTCAATTGTGAGAGGTTAATACATATTAAATATTGTAATTATAGGTTGCATAAAAATTCGGTTATGAATACAAATATTTATTAGAGAAAACTTATTTGTGAATTCTAATATTTGACTAACTAAATATTTTATAACATTTTAACCTATAATAGGAGTAAAATGGTAATCAAGTTTAAAGTTTCCCACTTTTAATAATATATGATATATAATATGATCAGTAGCAACTGCCTGTAATTTAGAAAATGATACGGAAACAACACGTGTTCTACGAATGGGTTTGCCGAGTTTTTTCATCAACACTACACTCAAAGGCAGACCATCACCAGCATTTTCTGTTTCTGCCGGAGAAGAAGATAGCAAAATGTCATGGAAATGGAGGTTTGAGGCCCTTAGACCACCTTGGGCACCACAGCTTAAACCTTTTGCTTTAATCAGCAAGACAGAAGAAATGTACTGGTATATATTATGGGAGGCGATGAAGCGAGCAAGAACAAAGATTTGATTGAGATGGCTATACTCAAGAAAAGGCACCATGGAGACAATCAATTCATTAAGGTGAACAACATTGTCTGATGAGTTGGTAGTCTTTAGACATGAGCAGAAATATTGAATAACATACAATGAGTTTTGGACTCAACTATGGATAATACTTGTCTCATGCTCCTATCTTGTTAATATCCAGTTAAAGACTAAACACAAACATACAATTGATTATAGTGTGTAGTTATTATTTTATCATCCCACATAATTAAGATATATATTTTAAGTATGAGTTATTTTATGCATAACAAATCACCCTTAAGGGGTTGTTTTTTCGCTAGTTAGAGTTTTTCACTTGGATGAAGCCTTAATTATTCATGTAATATACTTCATTTCATTTTTTTCCCTGTATAACCTTTTTACTTATCCAATTTTGATTCTTTATTTTGTCCTTTTCTGCTCGTCATTTTTGACAAATCAAGAAATAATAATATTTTTTAAATTTATTATACGCTCAATTTATTTAGAGAGTTAATGTTTTTGAAAAAGGTAGAACTCCTTTAATGAGTAAATTGATTTTGAAATTCTATATAATAGGAATAAAATAGTAAACTCACTATGTCAATTGTTATTTTTTTTAATAGGTATGTCAAGTTAAGAATTGACAAGTAAATAGGGACAAGGGGGGAGTAAATAGATATCACCTAGCTTATACATTTATACGTGTTAATTTGTGAGATTGTAAATTGGTAATCAATTAACGTATTTAATTTTATGCATAGCAACTAAAATACTACTCCTAAGCATGTTATTAGTTATATTAATTTTAATACATAAATAACTTACTTCTTAACGAGCAAGCAAACAACCCTTCATAGTGTATTAATTGCAGATTGTTTGGATGATTGTTATATATTGTTACATAATATATTATATTATTTTGATTAATATAATATTTGAATGAAATGTATCGATCATGTTGTTACATAATATCACACATCAATAATCTGAAGAATAAATCTATAACACTATAAATAAAAATAGGGTACACAATAAAATTATTTTTAAAAATTAATAGTATACAATAAGATTATTATTTAATAATCCAAAAATAAAATTAACAACGTAACAATACTAACCTTTTTTGGATGGTTGTTATCCATTTAAATACTCTCTTTGTCCCTAATTATTTGTCCATTCTTTCTTTTTTAGTTGTCCCTAATTACTTGTCCATTTTGACAAATCAAGAAAGGACAATTTTATTTTACCTATTATACCCTCAATTAATTACTTTGAAAAAGGTAGAATTTTTTGAAAATCTTAAGTTTTAAATTCATCCATTTCATAATTAATAAGGGTAAAATGGTAAACTTACTATGCCAATAATTGTTTTCTTAATAGATGTGTCATTTCAAAAGTAGACAAGTAATTAGGGACAGAGGGAGTATAAATTATTACTTAAATGTTAAAAACACACCTAAATTATCCCTTTTTTTTTGTTTCATACCTAAAATATTGATAGTGTGAGTTTCATATCTAAAATTAGGGGTGTACAAGCCAAATTGTAAAGTCAAATCGAACCGACGAACCAAATAAAACCGAAAAAAAAATCAATTTGTGGTTTGGTTTGGTTGGTTTGGCAGTTGAAAAAAAAAAACCAACCACTCTTGGTTTGGTTTGGTATTAAAAGAAAAAAAGTTAAACCAAACCAACATAATATATATATATATACATAATTTTATTTTATTTATAGATAAAAAATATTATTTATAATCTACTTTGTTAATATATTTTTAGTTTTCAATGTTTATATATTTTATTTCAATTTGGGCTTGTAAAATTTGTAAATATTTTATTTTGTATTTATATCCGAAGTTACAATTATATTGTTATAGTTTTTCAAATTCAAAGTAAACAATTTACTTTGTAAATATTTTGTTTTGTATTCAGATTGCATGTAACCTTTAATCTTATTAATTTAACATAATGAACATTGATATTTCAAAAAAAAAAATTGTACTCATGTGAATTTTACCATCTTTTCGAAAATTTCTATTCATTTAACCATTTTTAAGTTTAGCTTATCACACATGTAAGTGAAAATATATTTGATCTCTTTTTCAAACACCGTATATTTGTAAAAAACCGAAAAAACCGACTAAAGTCGAAATAGAAAAACCTGACTTTATGTGGTTTGATTTGATTTTTAGATTTAATAAACCGACATAATTGGTTTAGTTTTTTTTAAATGAAAAACCAAACCAAACTGACCTATGTACACCCCTATCTAAACTATTACTTTTTAGTTTGAGAAACACACCCGATGTAATGCACTCTCTCTTTTATTTGAAAAAACTGACACATGGCATTTCACATGGATAAAATATTCTACCTTAACAAAAGTTAAATAATAAACTATTAATATTAATTAAAAATTAAAGTATTAATATCCATAAAAAATATTTTTTTAAAAATAAAATTTAAATGATTTTTCTCACCTCACTCCACCATCTCCTCTACGTACCCTCAACAATCCCCACCCTTTTAAAAAAAAATTCTTTTATAAAATATTTTTAAGAAATTCATACTTCACCCTCCCCTCCCAAAAAAAAAGAGAGGGGTGTGTTTCTCAAAAATAAAAAGTAATAGTTTAGGTATGAAATCCACACTCTCAATAATTTAGGTATGAAGCTCACACTTTCAATAATTTA